GAGATCAACCAACGAATCTCTTCTTCATGCACTTTCATACCAAATGAAAGTCTCCCCAACAATGTTATCTCATGAGATTAATCGAAACCCGGTTTCTCTTCGTATCTACGAGAAAACGAGTCACGGACTGTCTTGCATGCAAGAAGGAAAGTTGCAGGCGAGGATCTCGATGTGGGAAAAGCACAGACGATGACGTAGTGTGCTGCTGGTGCTGGTGCTGTTGCTGGCGCGAGAGGGCAACGTTTGGTCGCAGAGGGTGACGACGACATCGGGGGAGCGACGGGGCAAGGGGTCGCAGTCTGGGCGGTTTAGGGCTTAAAATACTCTTGCGTGCTTCGAATGCCACTTCCTGATTGGCTCAAATGAGAGGCTCGAGGCGGTGACCTGTCGGCCTAGTCGCCGTGGCACCCAGTGCCGGTGCGTCATGCTCCGCTCAGTGAGGCGTGTGTTGAGCGATAATCGTGAAAGATGTGGCTAGGTCGATTGTTGCGTAGACGTCACGACACTGGAGTTGAGTAATGCTATCTATTTTAATGGGAAATACATCAGCAAATCTATCAAAAAGACCATCTTCAATGGGACAACTTCATACAACAGCGCTTTTGCAATCTGAGACCGATTAACAGGGCAGGCGACGAAAGAATGGAGCGCAGAATTCGTGCGGGGTCCGTTGGCATGGCGATAAGTGGATGGTGTAAATGCGACAACCTAGACGGTGCGTTAGGCTGTGAGTCATGCAAAAGAGGCCGCAGCAGGGCGACGTTGTGGTTGTGCCGTAGTCGGTCTGGCGAGAGTGTCCCCGCTGGTGTGGGTAAAAAAAGTCATCATCGCTGATTGAGCGCGGTCCCCATCAAAGCGAGGCCCGAAGACGTGGATTGGTCACGTGGAGGAATCGATCGGTTGCAGGAGTACTGTCTACTGAATACTTGATGGGGTGTGAAGGGCGGTTTCTGATTGGTCCCAGACGGTTGATTCGGCTTCGGTGCAGACCGGGGTTTTGTGGATCCAACGGCATGGTCAAGTCAGACTGGCGTGAATGTTAATGGTCGATATTCAGAGCATGAGTCAAGCCTACCCGTTGAGACTTACGGCGGTGTGTATGTGAGAGGACAAAGCGGGTTGGAGGGCTTAAGTCTCAAGTCTCATTTGAGCCGAAGTCAGGTGACAGTGAGAGAACCCGATAGGAGGGCATCGATTGGGCATAGCCGATGTCGAGACGACGTGTGCACAGGTGACTACCGCCCTTTGGCCAAGTTGCTTAAAGCGCCCGTGTGTATTTAGAGTTGTACATTGCGGTGGAAATAGCCTTGGTGATCTTTGCCATCGTTCTGTTGGGGCCAATCTCATTTCAAGGCTTCAACCGTTCTGACCGAATGAAGCGCCCAAAATTGTATAGGCTATACGATTTATTGAAATAGTGCTGCCGACTTATCGACTTAACAACTACGTTCCTTGTGGTACCGTGACTGAGGCGAAAGAATTATTTGTGAAGAAGAGTTGGGCGTACTACCATTTCGAGTGAAAGTGTTAGTAGACTGAAAAGTAGAGAGGGATTTGAGCCGCCTGCAAAAAGGAGGCGACGCAACTAGTCTTTTCTTGTCTT